GTCCTTCAGAATGCAGGCTAACAAAAGAATAAAAATAAAATTATCAATTTTTNCTTGAGTCCCATTTATTTCTCTGACACATTAAATTTCTGTGAAATCCTGTGAAGCATAAAAAATATCTAAAGTCTCATGCATCAGCGATAAGAAAACTCTGACATAATTGACATAATGCGCAACAAATGATAATTAATAAAAAAAATTAATTCTTAAGTTTAATTGTGAAGGCATATCTCTTTCAGTTTGTGCATGACCTCTTAGTGTTGGTCATTACTGATTTGATTATTTACTTTGTTTCACTCCATACAATGAACGGGTACTCAGCTAGTTGTTTATAACAGATACTGCAAAAACTAAAAATAATTTTTAAAAAAAGGTTAAATAATTATAATTTTGAGATTCCGCTGAATAATAGATCAGTATTGAATTGTTCTACATGGAATGATGAATAAATTTTTGTTTCGTTCTATTTTGGTAAATTTTAGGTCTTAACCAATCACATTGTTATCTGTATGTAGTAATTCTCTTATTACATTAGATCCATAGCCTATTCTCCTTGGTCTATTGAAAACATGTCAAAGGTCATTATTTTTGGAAATACGAAGATCATTATAATAACAATTCAGTGGAGTAGTGCATGTTAGCGTTGTAAATTTTCTTCAATTTTTACTCATGTTGAATATTTATTTCATTTCTTAACTAACCAGTGAAACATGTGTTAAACGCTTTCTCCTTAACCTTTTTGAAAATAATACCGAGACTAGCTTGATAATTATTCATTATAATGCTTTTGTAATATTTAGTTGTGATGAAAGTTCTTTATCGAATACATCTCATTTTCGGATTTACGAATCATCGGATTTACCATTACTGGAATAAACCTACAACCTCTGAATATTCTGAAGCAGAGTTAAGTATTATCAAACACTAAAAATAAGTAAATAAATTTGAAAAAGAAAACAACTATTGGATACCTGCAAGTGATGTCATCGTACGTAGCTGAATACAAAAGCTGATACAAAAGCCAATCAAGTTCAACACACATGCCTGACGTCCCTTGCAGTTAAATCCGATTTAAATCACATGACTATCTGCATAATCAGTTAACTTATTCAAGTTGCGAGTACCCAATTACATATTTAAAAAAAATACGTGTTGCAGAAATCATTGTAATGAATTTATAATATTATCGAATATCTTTTTCTTTCGACAGTTAATTTAAAGGGAAGTTTTTGTTGCAAAATCTTGTCAAATACATTTTGAATTTTAACATTAAGTTTTAATAAATATTACAGCAAAATTATTAGCCAACTTTTTTAATTTAAGTAATAAATATAAATTAAGAATAATTTTAAAACATTATTTAAAAATTTTGCTTCTTGATAAAGCTTTGCTTCATTAAAATTTGCTTCCATATAAAAAACAAATCAATACCTCTGGGGATACTAACTTGGAGATTAATCGTTCTCTGGTTCAGGTCAAACTTACGATCTTCGGATGGATGAAGAGATCCGCCCGTTAAAACGGGCTGCGACGTGTGCGGCTGAAGTCTGATTCTTAGCCATAGGTGGTGCGATTAAAAAACAAGATACACATCCTCTGCCTTAAATTCACTTGATTTCACCTAGCAGGTTTGCTGGTATTAGCAAGTGACATTAAGAGCAACAACAAAGCAATTTATAATGAGAAACGTAATTTTATAATTTTGTCGCGTACTTATAAAAGTTCTGTATTGCGCAGAATCAAATTAAGCAACTTTTTCATTATTTTTAAAAATAATGGAATACAAATTAATGTAGATATATTTCAGCATTTTTTTAAAAAGTGAAAACTCTGTATAAAACTTTTGAAAGTTTTGTGTAATTTTATTAATTGTGTGAAAATTAAGCGTTAAAGAATTCACCATCTAATTCTGTTTGAAATGAAATAAATATTAATCATATCAACTGCAATTAATATTGTATTTACGAAAGAGCACTTTGCCATCATCTATACAATTATTTATAAATAAATAAAAGAGATACGAAGCTTTTTTTCTCATAAATATATTATCCCTAATGGATATGATAAATAAGAAAAATTAATTGAAATACAAAATATCAAACTATGTTTTATAAAGTTGATTAAAAAATAATTCTGTTTTAACTATACTTTAGTCTAATAATAACAGAAAAACACAGGGCACAACACCTTCAAAAGTCGTGGTTTGGGAATTTTGGTGGTGATAAGATAGAAATTGAATATTGATGTGCTTAAAATGTTTCATTTTTGTATGGATAAAAAGCAAATTATTTTTTTCCTTTTTAGTCTACTTCAATAACGTAGTTTTAAAGTTTAGATTTTTTTCCATTATTTTCTTTATTTTTCTTAACTGTCTATTAGTTTCTTAACAGAAAGTCGACAAAAATTCGGTAGGTGATGAAGGGGCAAAAAGTTTTGGCATTTCGGAAATAACTATAATTTGTATTGACATCTCACATAGATCTTTAATCGAAATTTGTGATAAAGTGACTAATGATAAAGTGAAATTTGTGACTAATGATAAAGTGGTCAAAATTTTGTTCCGATGAGCTCTTTATGAAGATAAATTTCATTGGCAGGAAACGATAAATTTCAATTAGATAAATTTCATTGGAATTAGATAAATTTCAGTCCAGGAAACGATGCGCAGTAGTTAATCATAAATGTGTAGTATCAATTCGAACCCTTCAGCTGTTTAGAAACTGGTCAAACTTTTAATTGACAACAAATTCTACTTGGTGCTAGTGCAACAATAAAATCTATAAAATTTAGCCAGAAAATGTTTGAAAGTTGTATTATCGTCGAGTTATGGTTAAAGTATGAGCATTCTAGATAGCAGGAATTTCGATAAACGTATTTAATCGTCACAGACCCGAAAGCAAGTTAAGAAAAGGTAGTAATTAGAAAAAGTTATTAAGTATTAAAGAAATAGTAATAAACGAAAAATAACAATTATTGATTCAAAATGTTTCTTTCAGTCTTAGAGTAAGTATTAGATTGGGAAGCCGCTGTCATTTCTGTGATAACTTATACTTGTTAAACTACAAAAATTGTCATTTGACTGTGTTGTTTTCTTCTGCTTTGTCAAACTTCCAATTTATGGCATTATTATCGATGAGCTAAGTATAAGGGAGATATAAGGCCAAACAGTAACACAGTATATTAGTTATATATATACATACATAGTAACGTAAAGGGCCATTTGGTGGGTCCTCTAATTGGCCTATAATTATTTCCTCTGGTTGTAGTTGCTGTAGTTCATTTACGTCGCAACTAGAGCTGCACAATGGGCTATTGGCGACGGTTTGGGAAACATCCCTGAGGATGATCCGAAGACATGCCATCACAATTTTGATCCTCTGCAGAGGGAATGGCACACCCGCTTCAGTAGCCCGACGACCTGCACGCGAAGTCGAACACTTTACGGTAGAACAGTTTAACGAGGACCAATACCGCACATCCTCGGTCCCTACGCAGACTGATCCAAGTGGTCACCCACCTGCACACTGACAGCAGCCAGTGATGCTTGACTTCAGGTGATCTGCTGGGAACCGTGTCTTAACGATCAGTCCACTGCGGGACTACTTCCTCTGGTAGGGTACACTAATACGTGGCCTAGTATGAATATTACAGGTCAAATATTAAGGGGAGTTATAGGACCAAGTAGTAATACAAAATATTAACCTCGAATTTCCTCATTTTAACGCTATTCAACACACTAATATGCATATAAATACATAGTAACCCACATTGTCCTCTAATAGGCCTATAATTATTTCCTCCAGTAGGGTGTAATAGTACCCTGTAATATAATACGTGACCCAGTATGAATAGAATCCTAATATATAAAGCGTATATATTTATAGTTAAAAACCGTTAAACTTTTCTTTATATTCCATGATAACCAAGAATAATATACTTTGGGGGGGGGGGGGAATTTGTGCCAACTTTTGGTTCAGTGTTGATCAATAATGATGGCAAAGACCTGGATAAAAATAAACTAAAGTTAACAATGCCTGTTCTGACGTCATAATACCAGTGTACGAAATAGCTCGATTTAATATTGAAACAATTACAGAGAGTAAGGGTAAACTATATACCAAGAACTAGTTATGTAGTACTCTGTTGTTCAATAGTTATAGCAAACCTTTCCCTAAGTAATTCCTCCCAAATGTCGCACAGGTATCAAACTATGTTATCAAAATGAAGTAGAACATTTTAAAAATGATAGGTGGTCGTTTCTATATTTTAAAATGAAACTATTTTGATTATACTTTCAATCGAAATTTTAAGTAGCCATAATTCTGTTGGACCGAATGCTATAATTTCAACATTATATCATCAGATCATTTTTGAAAGTTATAAGAAATATCGTTTTAGAAAATTAAAAAAAAATTCTGAAATTAAATTTGTATTGCATTACTAAGGTGCTTGTGTACGAGCCCGTCGATCATCTTTGGAATACTTAAAAAAACGGCAAACGGCATGATTTTTCGGTAACATTGATAAACTATAACCAAATTCGTGGTTATACTTTTAAGGTGTATCCTTAAAATAGATTTCTGTTGTTGTTGTTAAACTTATAATGAATTAAATGTATTTTTATGTTTAGTTATTTTTGCAAGCAAACTGTGCCCCAAATTTTCTTTAATTGAATGCTCTAAAAAATTAGTTTCAGCATATTTTTAAATATTTGTTTTAATTCCCATTAAGTATGCACTTGTTATGATACGAAACGATTTGGAGTCAATTTAGCGGAATTTGCACCAACTTTCTTAGCCGACGTGATTTTACACATTACCTTAATGAATTGCGGAATTTCGACAATAAAAAAATGTGTTAATTAAATAAAGAGGAAAACTTATTAATTTCGAAAATATTGTTATTCATTAGAAAAATATATAATCTTTTGCGTGAAAAAAATTATTCCTTTAAATAAAATTAACATCGAGCTTTTGGGACCGATTTGAAGGCGTGCTTTTTACTTATGCTTAAGTACCACTAAAATTTCTTTTCAGACAATCATTTCGGTAAAATATTTATTCTGTTGTATCTTAATCTATATTCAGAGAAGTGGCCGAAAGGAAACAATGCCTGACGCGGTACTTTGCATATTTAAAGACAAGTGCCATGGTGTCACATCGTCTGATATCATTTCAAAATACGAGTCATTATCGTCTGTTTAAGCTTTTCTTTGTAGCAATGATCGGTTTCGAAAAAGCGCTGCATTTCTGTGTGTTGGGTGGCAGCATCAAATGAAAGCGATATTGTGTGTAACGTGAAAATTTTCGATTAATGCTTTTTATATTTTTGAAAATGGTGTTAATTGGGACTAATATTTGTAAGTCAATTATTCTATATATTATATATTTATAAGCATGCATATCTTTCCGTTTCTTCTTGATAAAGTAAAAGATCTAGTAATATTTCTAATAAGACTTTCGAATGCTTCTTATGTGCTCAAGATTCTACCAGTACTGTTGTTAATTGTAATCTATTGATATATGTGAATCATTCTTATTTCCATTATGCTTCTATTTTAGTTAACTCTTTTTTTATGCAACAATTGTATATAGGAGAGTCCTTATGTTCGAATGGTAACTCTTTTTGATTATGTAAGTCAATATATAATTTAATATAAACCCTGATTTATTGCCTTTTTTTTATTTTAATAATTGAATTGTTGAGAGTTGGTGATTTTCAATTATATATAAACCGATCTAACCGAAAAAATAAGTCTTATTTAAATTCCAACTAGAGATATTCCCATTTATATTTCTGCATTTACAGCAGCAACTATTCTTAAGTTAACATAAGTTTCCATATTTCAACCATTTGTGTAGTTATAAGGACTGAAGGCAAAAATAACAGGGAAATTTAAGGGAGTGAAAAAAATTAAGAATGTTTCAAATATCACATCATATATTGAAGATAAAAGCATAATGTATATATATGTGTCCTAATCAAAAATACTAATAATTAACAGCTTACTTATTTTAGTTAATAATCGTTCGAATTATTACGATTCCTTTCAATTTACTCCAGTTTAAGTACTAAATTAAGTACTTTATTTACATGAGTTTATCTTTTAATACCTAATATCGTTTGGGTTATTCTAAACACTTAAAGTAAGTATAATATATAAGGATTCGATATTATATACTGGAAGATGATAATATATAGTACAGTCTTGCGTATACGAGATAAATTGCTGACCATATAACTGAGAGCTAAATTTCGTAATTTTTCATCTCGGTAGATATTTCTTTGCAAAAATTATAATTTGGAAGAATTAAATTCTGAAATGAGTTGAGTTTTAATACAGATTTTAACAGAACTGATTCTTTAGCACTGATAATTATTGGCTTAACATTAATGCATTTGTTTATTAAATGTAATATTAATTACACTGGAGAAACAAATTTCTATTACATTTATGCAAATACTTGATATTGTCTAATTCGTGAGTAAAGATCCTAAAGTTACAGATTGTTAAGTCTGTTTTTCGTCGAAATGCATAAGTTTAAAAAATTCTGCAGAAACTAATTTTTTGATAAAATTAAAAATAGTTTTGTCTTAAGGGATCAATTCGTGTTAGGGCCGATATAAGAAATGACAGTACTCAATGAACACCTGGCGTTTTTAGGTAAAGTATTAAATGCAATAATTATATTTCTATTATTAGGCATTCCACAGAATAATATTACATTCTCTTTTAGTACTAAATCCGCACTTATACTAAGTTCTAACTCGTAGCATCAAACATGACTGTGTTTTTACTTTTCCAATCAATATATTTGCTATAGAACAGAGAAGTGATTTTAAAATGCGAATAATGGAATGCAATTTAATGCTCGCAAATTATATTCCGGTAGTAAGTATATTATCCAATTGTAATTATCATTCATTACCATTACTATTATTATATGTGATGATAATAATAATTATTTTTAATTACAGTTATTATCAATTGTAATTATCATTCATTACCATTACTATTATTATATGTGATGATAATAATAATTATTATTAATCACAATTATTATCAATTGTAATTATCATCAATTATTATAACATCAATTATGAATAATCATAAATATTATCAATTTCAATGATAGTGATCATCAATTATGATAATCATTATTTGTAATGATTTTCATAATCATATTCATAACATTAGCATTAATCATGAATAATCATAATTATTATCAATTTGAATGATAATGATTATCAATTACGATAATCATTATGTAGCTATCATTATTTGTAACGATAGCTACAATTGGTTGCTTCCAATTCGAGTAGTGAAGTAATTATGCTTAACCATGGGATTTAGATCAGATTTATTTGAATACCTGTAAACGTCGTCAAGCGTGTGCGTCGTTTGTGTATTAAAAAAGAAATTCTTAAAATTTCAAATTGGAGGAAAATTCTAATTGTAAAAGTTGCAAAAACAGTAAAATTCACTATACGAAAACAAAATTTAAATCCTTAACTCACAAAGGACAACACATGTTATAAAGAACTCAACGTGTCGCCGGCGAATTTTTATTGTTCCTACTTGACATTAAAATATCTTTACTATTGTCCTCTATTTTTGGAGGAAAAAGAATTGAAAATCGGACATTTGTAATAAGCTAAACACGCTTCGCGTCGTAAAACTATGCTTCTAAAAGTGATCTAAAACGGATGATATATTTTTATTCATATTATTCCAATGGTTAGGCTTAACTGATTCTTATTACTTTTAAAGGAAAGAATAGTTTCGTATATTATGCATGCATGATTATTACAATTTATCCTGCAAGCAAGTTTAGAAAAACGAAAATCTATGTTTTTCTCTGTTTATCATAATAGTTATAGTGAAATATTAAATGTAATCACATGATTATAGGTACAGAAGAAATAATGAAATCAACATTAGCTTTGGCAGTATTTTTGGTAATGAATGCCAACGGTTGTTGCAAGGAATCGGGTAAGTTTGTTTCAAGTCATTCTGAAGATAATTTTCAAAATTTAAAAGAATTATATGCAAGTATATTCTTATATGACACAACTGTTAAATAGCATTTTAAACTGGCGAACATGCGCATATACGAAAAGCAAATGTTACTCAAAAATAATCAATTTCATGTGCAGTTTACGTGATATGAATAGTTTATTTATCTCCGTGATCCTCGACAATGCAAGTTTAATTTTTTTCTGATAGCTAAAAGCAGAATTCATCATGACATTGTAACTAATCAAGTTAATTTATCGTCAATCAGAATTTTAAAAAATATCTAGAGCACATAAATTTTAATTGGAGCTCTATGCCGAATAAAAGCTATGATCATTTTCGGCCATTAGAAGCAAAATTTATTGTGATAAGGATAAGCTGTTCTAAAAGCACACTTATCAGCGATATCCAAATGGAATTTATCATAAATCGAAATTTTGACCACTTTAATGCTTAGTTAGGATACTATAATATTAGCCTTTATGTTAAATAACATCACAAATTAAATGCCAATTTTCTTCCAATCAATAAAACCAAAATTTGTTACTTGTATAGATCTGAAAAAAAGTTTTAATAATATTTTAATATTTAACTTAGTAATTATCGAAAACATTTTGAATTTTAAGGCATACAAATTTTTAAACCATTTTCAAAAATGTAATTTTTAATGGTAAAATGCAAAATTTGAACGAAATTGGTCGAATAGATTCTGATTTATTTTGAAGAGTTGTAGATTTGAAATTTGATTTCTCAGGAACTACTCAACTGATTTTGTTTAAATGTTGTAATTTACTTTTTAAAATTACATTCTTTAAAATTATGTAAAATTTGAAAGCCTTACTCTTCAAATTTTTTCTATTACTATTAAATAAAATATTAAAAATTAATAAATGATTATTAAAAATTATTTCTTACATGGAGTATATTTCAATAAAAGAATTTTGTAATTGTATACAAAAAGATAGATTCGCTTGAAATGTTCTTGAGATACAGTGAAATGCGCCAAAAAGTGAAATTAACTTTAAAGAGGCTAAAAATTTCGATTGCTCTAATGATTAAACTATGAAATCATATTTTATGAATTACAGCTAGCCCCCATATTTTAAGGGGCAAAAATACGAAGTCTTCGAATAAGAATTACGTTTATTGAAAGAAATACGTTTTGTACCTGATTTTGTTTTACTTAAAGTATAGTTTGCATTAATTATTTTGATTAGGCGTTCGAATCATTAATTCGTAGCAAGTGAAAATCCAATAATAAGATCAAAAGATATTCAGGGTGCTCACTTTTTTGCCTAATGTTTACACTCTTAACATATTTGTGCCTTAGTGTCCCTTAAAAATAAAGGTTCAATTTTTTTTCAATAGAGAAAGAATGGTAGCACAATTACGAGGATTTGTTAAGCAGACATTAAAAGTTTTGTCTGTCACAATATATATCTGCCATAATATATATGTCATGTATGTCTGCCATAATATATTAACTCTTTGCTTTCGGCTGGTACAGCAAGTGGACCCGAATGGCCCCGTAAGCAAAAGGTTAAAAATATAAGTATTTATATTTGGATCTGAAAACAAAGCACAGTGCTTTATAGCTAAATTGGTGATTAACCGAAAGAACTATCTATTTGTTGTAAATAAATAAGGACTAGCATTTTTTACGTATGTAGATACCGTAAACCGGGGCGAGTCTACCCATTTTAGTTTTATTTAATTTTCACTATTTTAAATTGCAAATACCGATGGAGGACTTAGTTCAGACTCTAAGGAAGATGGCGCTGTAGTAGTTTGATCCGTTTTTATTTATTTGGTGTCTTTTTAACCGACCTGTTCAAACGTCTTTTGAGAGATTTGTACTGAAAATCAGCAAACTTTTAGTTGGTGCTCCGTAAGTATATTATTATTATTACTATTTTCACTTTGGTTAAGTGATAAACTTATCTAAGACTAAGATTACATTAATTTTATATGAAAAAAAACAAAAAGAATGTAAGTTTTGCTGCTGTAAACAAAAAGTCAGAATTCGCGGGGCGAGTCTACTCATTCGTATTTAGTTTTAATAAAGCATAATAATATAATTTAGAACTACATTTATATTAAAATTAAGTCATTTTAAATGAATTTAAGTATATTATTTTAGTTCTGCATTGATAAATTTATCATTAATAAGAAAATTTATAGGTTAAATATAAATGTAAATATAAAATTTGTTTATTTTACCCATTTTTTAAATTTCTATATTACAAAATTAACTTTTTTTATTTAATGCAAGTTAAATAAATTATTATTTATTATTACAGATGGTTCGAAATTATATTCGCAAAACAAATGGATTTAAATGTTACAAAAAAATGCCACCTGAGATGGAAAAAGCTATCCAAAGGATAAAAGCCAAACAATAACAATATTAATTTTAATTTATTTTTATCAACAATAATCAGAAAAAAATGTTATTTTATAATGTTAATGATTATAAAAACAAAACTGTGATCAAAATGTGATAATCGATCAAATACTCAATTTGTGTTATTTTATGAATAAAAAAATGGAATATATAATAAAGTTATGAATTTTACTTCATAAATATCCTATATAGTAACTAAAATAACAATTTAATAGTAAAATTTGATTATTTACAATGTTAACATTCATTTTAGTAGAATGGGTAGACTCGCCCCATACGAGAGATTTGTCAGCAGTTCTATATAGTAGTTTTTTCTTGTTTTTCATTAATGTGTTCATATGCAACAGTAATTCTAGTATTCATTCTCGATAGATTTTTTCGTATTATTTTCATCAACTCGTGATAACGATGAAGATTCCAAAAATACTTAAATTTATTAATAGTGATCTTTCGAACGTTACTATTACTTAAGTTTTAAGAAACAGTTTAAAAAAAACAGTCAAATTAAACAGATACTTAACATTTCTGATTTTGTTGAGATTTTCATAAAGTGTCCTTTATGTAAGACGCATGGTTTTTCTTGTCAGAAAAATTATTTTTTTTTAAGGTTTGAAAGACAAAACTGAAAGTCGTATGATATTTTGAGAAACTCTAACTTTGAGATTGATTGAGTGTGTACAGAACGTTTTGTACCACGCAAAGAACCACGGTATTGATATTTATTCTGTGTTGTGATAACTAATTTATGGATAACTCATGGTGCAAAACTCAGAAATCATTCAAGATTCTTCGAAAGAATTTTTTTTCGAAAATTTTGACAGTCATTATTGGAAATGCTAATTAATAGGGATAATAAAGAGTGAGTATTTAAATTAATAAATTAAATAAAAATGCAACTTTTGCTACGGTTTTATATTTTAAGTGCACATAACATTTCAGTACAAAAATAATCATTATGGAGCAAGATCATGAAGTGCGAGGTTGGATTGCCTGAGTACAATACAAATATAAGTTTTCACACGATTTTATTAAGTCATCCAATAAAAACAAATTATAATCGGCATCTTTGAAAACTATTGACCAATTTTTTTAAGAATCAGACAGGGTTAAATACTTGAAATTTTTTATCTTGTTGAAACTTATAGAATTTTTTTAAATTCTAAACTACTATTCGACGCATGATTTTTAATTTTTTTAAAGAAATTTCTTCCCGTTTTGAGTGGTCAAAACTGACAATAAACGAAAAATTTATACATATTTTAATGTACTACACATACTAATAAATTAAACTTTAGAAAAGAGCAAAGTATGAATGGGAACATTTGGCGTGACCTTAAAATTGACCTTGCATTTTTCCATAAATTTCAAGGCTGTTAACTGCTTTCAGCAGCAATGAAAAAAACACAGCATGAAATTTACTGAAAAAAAGGCTTTTACTATAACCGGGAAAAGATCTGTAATAAAGAGAAATTAGATTTTGCTAGTTCTAACTCGTAATCTTTATATCGAATTTTTTAAAACATATAAAATACTCAAAAGTGAATTAAAAAAAACAAGTTTCCAGTTTCCAATTTGAACGGCTATATGATATAAGGTTATCGTTCAAACGTAAATTCAAATTCTTAAGTGAAATTAATTAAACAGAATGTAAAAATGAAAACAACCTTAAATACATTAATACGTTATCGTTGTATGTTGCTAACAAGTAAAAATACTTTCGTATTTATTACTTCTTATTCTGTTTAAGTTTTAATTTTCAATTACAGTTGATTTTATTTCAAGCACTGTCCTTTAATTTCGTATTTAAAAATAATTAAATTTTCTTACATAAAATTATACTAATTAAATATTTTATACACAAAATATTGTCACAAAAAATATTGATGTTTAAGGGAAAATGATGAATGATAAGCGTGATTAGTGAGCAAAGTGAGCTGGGCAAAGCAGATTTGTTAAAGAAACAATTTAAGTTTTAAAAGCATCCATATTTTAATTCCAACAAAGCTCTTATTGTTTAGTATCCTTGTTCGAACAATTTTAAATAGGCAATTTAAAATTAAAAGCACCTTTATTTAAACTCCAACGAGAGTCAATGTTTATTCAATTCCAACTATTAGTTCACACTCTTCCTATATAGATTTATATATCTTGATAAAATTTTAAATTGTTAATAAAATACTTTTTATTTATCCACTCAAGTTCAAATACATTTTTTTAAACTTGCAGAGGATGATAAGGCAGTTTTTTCAAACATTAATTCTCATTAATTAAATTTAAAATAATTAATCTATTTTGCTACTCAATATTATTATTCTGTCATACTTATATACATATTTATATTAATTGTAATGATTTAATAAAAAGTAAGTAAAATAAAATTTTACTTGTTGACCTAAGAAGGGTAGTAGTTTTTACTTTAAAATTAGACTAAATAGTATTTTTTATGTTACTTATTTGTCTGGTGTGATCATCCATTTATTAAAACACAATTAAACACATATCTGCATTTAAAACTTAGCAATGATCTTAATATTTCTAACCTCAATACGGAAATTTTTAAAATACGATTAAA